CAGCACAACATAAACAGCTTGTCAGTTTCCACTAACCAGGAAGAATAAGAAGCAGTAAAAATACATGTCTTGTTTAAGTTTCAATACTAATTTTTTCATTGCTGATACAAATATCAGCCTACATGTGGAATACCAATAAGTGTTGTAAGATGTTTAAACCCTCAAGCATTCTAGCTTGCTTTTGATTCTAAATTTAAACATTGAGAATTGTAGTAATAGAGTCAGATCACATTGTGTATAGTCTTTGGATTAGGTTCCATACACAGAGTTGGCCAAGAGTTACAAACCTCAAGCCTATTCATGCCAACATTGTGGCAGTTTTCCTTTCATAAGAAATAATGAATGTCAGGGTATTCCTGTAGTGTGTTTGTCTGTGTGTGTGTTTAATCTTTTAATTTGGGGGATACAAGTCTCCCTACATATAACTCATTCCATTTTCTGCTCTAGTGCAGGCAATGTTTTGATGCTTTGGTGCACAATACTATGATACATGAAAGTGCACCCTACAGTCAGTCCTTTCTGCATTTTGCCATGCACCAAAAACTAAAGGAACATGGGAAATGACACATAAATGCACCTAGAAAAAATGTAAAGATGGAAGGCACAATTCAGGAATGAAAAGAGTGACTCTCTAAAGATGTGTTCAATTATAATGAAAAATGTATGTTTGGAAATTGCTTTGCAACAGAACAAAACATGATGTGATGGTTTGTTTCACAGTGCCAAGGATACAGATGTGTTTTAATGCAAGTTTTATGTGTGATTGGAAACCACCCAGAGTACCATTTTTTTCTGGGCAGAAAGGTAGGATACATATTAAGCAATAAATACAATTGTAATGGAAACATACTAAGCTGAATAAATTATAATTTTGCATATCCTAGAGATTCTCCTTTCTTGTACATGAGTGAACAGATGCAAACTTAAGATAGCACCATACTATACATGTTTTAACATTTTTGCTGCATCTATGTTGGACTTTGTGTTACAGTTGTATTTTTGCAACAAATATACAAAGGCTGCAAACCTAATCCCTTTACTTGAAACTAAGTCCCATTGAACTAAGTACAGGTTTGCACTGAACCTATGAATAATGTACAGATGCACATGAAATACAAAAACTTGTTGGGAACATTAACTGAATCTGGGTTCCAATATGCATGCATGATCATGTATCCATAGATGGCATATCATTTAGACTTAATGTTTTTGTTTGTGTAGCAGTCTATCTGACTTTGGATGATTCAGAAGAAGAGGATGAGAACTTTTCCCTTGATTTCACCAACTTGGTCATTATCATCAATTTAATTCATGAGAGGGCGGCCATACACTTCATACAGTAATTATTCTGCTCCATGTATACCAGTATTTCCTGCAGTGAACACACAAATTGGAATCATGGTCCACCTTTTATTAATCAACACATTCTATTTTATTACCAATATCAAAAGGATTACTACCAAATAATATATACTACCAAAGCAAAGAAAGTAGCTGAAACAATGCTAATTCATACTGTCAAGCTGCTCCTGTATCTGGCTAGTTAGATCCTATAATTAATTTCAGTCCCATGAGAAACACAAGAGAGGTCACTCTTCCCTAAAGGAAGATGCATTTCTCAAGCCAGCATCTCATTAAACAAATGCATCTCAGTCCTCATGGAGCTTGTAGGAATGACACAGGTTAAGCTGACAGGTTCTAGAAAAGGTTATTTGACAGACAGCCCTGAAATACAATGCACTGGTTATCCAGTTCAGGCTTTCTGCTTTCTATCTCTGTGCAGCTAAGTTATGGAAACACCGAATATTGCTTCTGAGAATCTGTGTAAAATAGAAATTTCTATGAGTTATGAATCATAACCTCATTTTACAAACATACAGATTTTGGTAGTTTTTGCAGGAATGTTTCAGGTCTCAGTCCCTTACTTCTATCCCTTGTTATAGATTCTTTTTAAAATACATATACATACACATATATCCTACAAGTATGCATCCCTTACTTCCTCATATACACCCCCACAAGGAGAAGCATCCTCAGTAAGGTCATGTTAGGAAAGTCTACTACTCTGTTTTCCTTTCTAGAAAAAAGAATTCACATATTTTGTGACACCCTAACAAAAAAGCTTACTCAAGGAACTAGCCTACAGATTATTATCATAGTCAACATAAGTCTTGTAGTCATTTGTCACATATAAATTATTTTCAAGGAATAAAAGAATTAGATGCCTTCCAATTTACCAAAAGAAAATAAAAAATACCCTTGCCTACTTGTTTTCAGGATGACATTTACCACAGACTACTAGGCAAGTGGCTACTTATAAGCTTGCTCTATAATAAATAGTTCTACCCTAGCACAGTCAAGAGTTGGACTTAGAGCTCATGGCTCTGCTTTTCTAACACTTTCACTTCCTGTCAGCACAATTCATAGAAGATAAATTGTTCAACTAACTGCACATCACTAAAATTGTCTAACAAATATGTGCCACCTGAAGGAACCATTTCAGGGATGACCATTTCAAGATCTGAAAAATCCTTGAGTATAACTTAATATGTTTATGATAGCCTAAAATATACAGTAACAATAAAAATTGCATATGGAGCATCATTTTAAGTGATGAACAAACAAGTCTTTGGTATTTCTTTCAAATTGCAGGGAAAGCTAATGGAGCAAAAAGGCCACTTAACCAGTTAAATTCATTGTATGTATATGTGGGAACCTAGTTCCCACAGCCAAAGTGAAATGATAAAATTGGCATGTGGCAAAGGACTTACGTGGTTACTTCAACCTGCAACTCCCCCCTCATACAACTACTCAGTTCAGTTTGGCCAACTCTGTTGTTGAGTTTCTAGCTGGGAATGTGCTAAAAGAACATTATCCAGTCAACTTTATAGCACCTGAAAGCAGCCATTTGCCCAGTTACCTATAGCAGCATCAGAATCAATACCAGGCAAGCAGGCTCTGAAGCTATTTCTTGTTCTTCTTCTTGACCACAAAAAGCAAATAGCCATGGATCAGCATGTAAATTAGTAAAAATGTTTGGAGGCATGTAAGTTATTTGCAAGTCTATAAATCTACACAAACTCAATTATCAGTGCACAAACTTAACCCATAATGGATGGGGTGGGGGATGGATGTGTGTGTCATTATGGGCTACAGCAAATAATGAATGGCCCTTCTGTGTGGCCCTGACTAGTGTTAACTAGTCAGACAGAACATTGTATAAAGAAGCTAAGCAGGTTTAAAAAAATGCCAAAAATTTATCTTTTCTCCTAGTTTATGGCATTGATTTGGCAAAAAGAATTCTAAATTATGCCAATTTTAAACTCATTATATGGAAGTATTATTTTGTTAGCTCTGTAGGCAAATACCATGTAATTTCACCAAAATTACACTGTGCCTCACCAAAACCTAGTCAAAGTAAATGCATTAAAATAAGCAAATACATAAAAAGGAGGAGACAACCCTCCATTTTTAAAAAAATTAATTCCTATGCAACCAACCATATGCAGAAGAAAGCTAGTAATCTGGAACTGGATGCAAATATGTTCCTAACAGCATGCAGCTCAGGTTAGTACTAACTAAAGGTCACTATCTTGGGAGAACTATTCAACAAGTTACCTATGCAATAGCTATATGGGTATTATGGCTATTGTGGAGCCATAAATAAATCATTCTGCCCCCAAAGATTTGTCCCCAGGAGAAAAGAAAAGAAAATGACTATAACAGCCACTAAGCTGTACCAGATCCCAGGCCAGAGTAAAGACCATAGCAGATACATCATACAAGAAGCACAATTTGATGACTTGATTACCTGATCCAAGGATACAGATTAATTTACCTATTTTCATCCCAAATCTACAAGCCAGTCACTGTGTCTACTTGCACTTACACTATTATTTTTGTGGACCAGCCTGTGTTTACTCCTGTGAATACCTCACACCCAACCAATACCACCAAAGATACTGACCATGGTACCATTTAAACTGCAGCATCACCCTCTCTCAATATTGGTCCTCTCCCACCCCAAAAAGAATGTATTATTCTAGCATTTCTTGTGGGTGCATGGAAAACAGAAAGATTAATATTATAACTTGGGGTCTGACTTCTCCCTATACAGACTGCACCAATGTTTGACAAGGAATACTGATTAGTTCACATCTTGCTCAGGGAACTCAATTACACATTGAGTCAGACACTGACCAACAGGTTAACATTCAGTGGTCCTTAAGGATCCTGCTGATCAACATGCAATGGAAGACCCTTACAGATTATTGGATCCTCCACCAGATCCCAAAATGAAGGCCTCTGTCACCAGGTCAGACATTAGATAGAATCCAGTGTCAAAACCCCAGCTCTAAACACCTCTTCACACTTTACACTGTTAAGTGTCCATCTGCAAATACAAAGTAGCAATACATGTAATAGCAATACATTTACAAGCTTATGTAACATACAGGTACACTTGACAAAGAGTCAGGATTGGTTGACCTGATGACAGACCCATGCCTGCCTGGCACAGTATCTGAAATGCATCTAATATTGTTAAGAGAGCTGAGGCTACTGCCTTAAAACCCCCAACGTTCCCCAAACCTTTTGTCTACAAATGCACAATTAGATGCCAGGACACATGCACTCACATAAACCCAAAGTTTCAGATGTACATAGCTCCTGCATGCTTGGGCCTAGGCCCAATCTCCCCTACCCAAAAGCTCCAAATTTTAAATAGCCATGACCTAGGAACCCCAAACCCTGGCATTAAAAGCTCCTCCAAAATCCTTACTTTTGAAAGCCCCCCTTTCCTGTAACCACAAGCCTTCAAGTGCTTGTACAACTGTGGCAGGCCAAAGACAGCTTCTGTAAGAGAATCAGATACGTGGCGAACCTGTCCTCGAGCACGCATTTAAAAATGTCATGTCAAAGTCTACGCCACCTCCCCCAATACACACCCCAGTAGTCCCACACCCGCGCCCAGAACGGATCGTCTGCCACATATTCCTTACCTGGCCTGTGCTTCATCCAGGCTCTGATCAGTGATGGCCATGATCTGCTGCAAGATGTCACCCGTGTCCTGTAGTCCGGGGGCTGCCTGGGGCTGGGGCGGGCCCTGAGGCGCTTGGAGTCGGTGGGGCGGGGGATCTCCGGCGGCTCCGGGAGGAGGCTGGAGCCCAGCGAGCAGCCGGGATGCCTCCTCCATGGCGGAGGTTGGGGGAGGGAGGAATAGGAGGGGGAGGGAAGAGAAGGTGTCCAGGAGAGAGCCCCGCCTCAAGCGCTACGGGAAGGGGGGGGTCCTGGAGCGGCTCGAGTCCTCTCTTCCCCCTCCCGCGCGCACACACACAGGCACACGGACGACTGACACAGAACAGGCCCCAGAGCTCCTCACTCGTGCCCGCTCCGCCCCCAGTCCCCGTCGCGCGACGGGGCTCCGCCTTCTCAGTCGTTGCCTGGTGCAGCGGCCCTTTTCCTAGAGTTGCCCGCCCCCTTCTGGGACAAAGCCAGTCTCTCGGCGGCTTCATGAGAATTGCCGCCTCCGGGAAGAAAAGCAGTGGGGGGCGGAGCTAAAGGAGAGGCTGTCTCCCCCCACCCTCCTCCTCTTCCCTCCTCCTCCTCCTCCTCCTCCAAGCTAAAGCCCCCTCTACGACTCCTTACTCCCCACCCCATCACCGACGCTGGCGCCCCCGCCCCCTCATATGTGTCCCGCCTAAAGCCGACGAACTGCCTCGTCTCGGTCCTCGCCCCCGCTCCCGCCCTTAGTTGGCCGTTTCAAAAGTGTGTCCGCTTCAAGCGACTCGCGCACCCCGAGTTCCCATCCCGGTCACGAGGAGTCCAAACTTATGGCGTTTCTCGCTCCTGTCTTTCATCCAACGCTGACTTTTCTCTTCATAGTTGCCGCTTCCACTTGAGCGGCTCCCAGACGTCGTCTTCCCCAGCCCCCAAAGCATCCCCCCCGCATGCACGCGTAGCTGATGTGGGGGAAAACTCGCTCAACGGTTCTCAACCGCCATTTCCCGTCAGAACCCCCACCCCACCCTACCCCCCCGCCGTAGCCGCCGCCTTGGGAAGACGAGCCCTTGTCATTCTCGGGCGGTTTCGGCTCGAGCGCCCTCGAGGAAGCGTCGCCTGCCGCCGCGGCCAATCAAACGGCCCTCTCGTAACGAACTGTCACCTCGCTCCGGTTGACTCGAGTCTCCCTCCAGCATGACTTCGCCTTCCAAGCGGCCTTCTCACAAGCACTGCTTTTCGAAGGCAATCCAGCAGCCCCATTCATTAAACACTGGGCTACCCCAGTGGGTTAAAACAGTGACACAAGTAATGTATTACCCTAGTAATAATAATACAACTGATGGAGGACAGAGGGAAAGGATGGGGGAGAGGAAAGAAGCAGCTTACCTACCAACAACTGAAAACTCTTGGACTAAAAATGTATGCGTTTTTGTAAATAAATAAAACGTTGTAAATAAAAACATTTCAATAACAATTTAAATTGTGAACAAGAAAGGAGAAACCTATGCTGCATCTCTAAAATATAGTACTTCCTCACCTCTCTGAAAAAAGGGGGAAACTCATATTGTTTGAAAGTTTTAGAACATTTGCTCTGAAAAAGTGCAGTCTTTGTTAGTAACTATCTGGCATCTTAGACTGAAACAGGTTCTGAAATTGAGCTGGTTGACAACTGGGGAGATCTCTAGGACTTTGTCTCAACAAAAGACTATAACAAAAGAAAATTCTTAAATTTGTACAGTACTTAACTGCTACTGATACTTAAATGTGACCATCTTTTCTTGAACTGAACCAATAAACAACTAAAATGTGGTTAATGGTCTGGATTTTTTTAAACATATACACATAGCTAAGGAAAAGAACATCCTGTGACCCAGTCATGACTTTCTCAGTCATTACCACCAATGTATCAAAAAATATGACACATTCATTCTGAATTTTGTAGGCTGCATCAAGTCGGCAACCTATTCTTTATTATTATGCCTAGGCTGTCCTATCTCTTTCCATCCCCTTAAGCTTCAAAACATCCCATCTAAGCACCTAAGGGCATAGCCGTTGTCCTAGAAGGGACAGATTGAGGCTGCTCCTTTTGTAGATCATGTTAGCAGTAAAAAGTGAAGCCAGTGCCTGGAAGCAAGTCAGCTCCACAACTGAAATCTTGTCTCCTAACATACTCCCCCCCGCCCCGCAAATCAAAACTGAAGAAGCACCAGTGGAGTGGGTACAATGGCATACCTGTTTCTCAAGAAAATACTCACACAAGAGACCAAAAAAAAAGCCACAGGTAAGGAGGTAGGGGGCTGAGGAATTAGCTCCATTCATTCATAGCTTCCAAGCGTACCTGGACTTACAAAGCATAAGCTATCTTTTACTATAAACCATGATTATGGCCAACCCAAGACCTTGGCTGCCCAAGACAAAGAATAAAATGGTGCTGTGCCAGTCAAGAAGAGTTACCAACTTGAAGAAAAGGAGAGCAGCTGGTGACAGTGATGGTGAAAACAGTAGACTCACTAAAGAGGGGAACCATTGATGGTATCTTGCCCCAAGGGTGAGAAAAAGCCTGCAACCAGCATGGACTTCCAGTATGAGATACTGTAGACAAACAACCAAGGATGGCCTTTACCACCATGACATGCTGATGCCCTCAGCCAACTGGTTGCACCTGTTAAAGAAAATGCAGTGGACTAAATAGATGTTAGTGAAGGCAGAGGTGGGGAGAGGTGTTCACTCCAGGCTTCAGGCTGAACTTTAAAAAAGCTACCCATGTTGCTGAACCAGAACTCCAAAATGTCTTCAGCACCACTAATCACTCCTTTGGATTTCAGCCAACCCAGAGTGGATACTCTGCTGTACTGACATTGGAATTGCCAGCTAACTCTACTTCTTCCCTGTATCTTCCCTATATTGTTCCCTATATCTTTGGTTTTTGGCCAAATGTACAGCTTGCCTCTAGACAATTATACCATAATATAAGTGCAACAAAATGTTGAGCGGTGGAGTGCTCATTGTTAGTGTTCCAGCAGCCAGGGTCTTAATTCCAGTCCACCTCAAAGCCAGCTTTCCATTCCCGTTCAACCAGCACTGTTCAGCCATGAGCAAACTCAATCCTTTGGTGTATTTCTTCTCTGCTTTTTCCCCCTTTCTTTTAATTACACATCACATTGTCTGAGTGAAGAACACTGGGCTGCAATATTGTACACACTCATTTTCAAATACCAGTGAGAACCAGTGTGGCCTAGTGGTTAACAGTGCAGAACTGGGACTCAGGTGATCTGGGTTCTAGTCCCTGCTCAGCCATGAAGCCAGCTGGGTGACTTTGGGTCAGTCACAGGTTCTCCCAACCTACCTCACAGGGTTGTTGTTGTGGGGATAAGATTGAGAGCAGGAGGAGGAGAATGATGTAAGCTGCTTTGGGGTTGTTATTATAGAAATCAAATAAATAAACAAAATAGCAGCATTTCAAAATTTGAAAAGAGCTTACTCTGGAAGAGCTTTTCCCCTTTTACAACATAGTCTTCTGCATGTCTATTCAAAATGTCCCATTTAATTCAATGGGACTTACTCTCAAAACATGTTAGCTGCTAAGAAACTTTAATATAAAACCAACCACTTTTCTTGTTCTCTTGTTGATCAACTATGCTTCCAAGCAACATCAACAGTTCTATTTATCAAGGTAACAAAGCATATTCCCATTTTGTTCTGTGACAGTTAACATGTATGCAATTATAGATAATTAATATTTTGAGGTATGACTGGGATCTTATGTTGATCATTCATAAAATTAGTGTTCTGTAGTACAACATGCAGATGTTTCTTCAGGTACAGTAAGCAACCAGTATGAAAGTTCATGTAGTTCAGACATTCCTCACAACATCTATTGTTTCCTAGAAAAAGCTAGTATAATACACAGTAACAAATAAAACACAATATATGTAAGAATCAAGAAGAAAGTTGTAACAGTTTCTATATAACCAACATGCATCCTGAAGGGCTTCAGATTTTATTATATGCAACTCAATCTATGGGTGGGAGGGGAAAGGAATATAGATAATGTTAAATGTATGTTTCCAAATGTTTGTTTTTTGTTTAATTTTCAATAAAGGAATCTTTTACAAAAGAAGCATGTACTGCCAACTTCTCACACCCAGGTACTCACAAACACATGCCCCAGGGCATCTTTATCTTTGCTGCAGTCCCCATCCTCATAGTTTCTAGCCATAGCCACCTCCACTTCCTCTCCTTCCATTCCACCATAAATGAGATGGAGAAGAATGACATAAACAGCCCCTTAAAGTATTTCATCAGAGCAAACTTAGCAAAGGAGCAATGAATGGAAATGCAAATGCAATATTAACATGTGTTTCTGAAATGTTAAAGTTTTATAACTCTCTCTCCAGACCTGTTCAAAATTTAAATGCATATAAAATAAAAAAGAATAAGAAAGAAAAGAATCATGACTGGAATTCTCAGAATTAAAAAATTAAGAATAAGTAAATCAAGGTGCTGCTCAAAATATCTATCCTGTCAAATAGGAAATATAGAAGTTTTAAAAACTGGTTTTTATTGTGAAAATGCAGAATTTACTGTAGTCATTTACAGTGAACTTAAGAGAGTCTGGTTGCCAATGTTTCCTTGTCAGCAAGAAATAATAGGAAATACAAAGTAATATGAGTGGTTTTATTGGACTGGCTTACTGTAAGTAAGTGCAAATTGTTACAGCACTATAAAACTGTTATTCAGCCTTGTATATTCCTACACCAACTTAACTTACTTGGTAAAATAAACTGTTTTGCCTCCTTTTGTCTCCATTCTTAAAGGGAAAATCCCAATTAGCACCAAAATTAAAAATTTGATTAATGCAGAGGAACAATCTCTTGATTAAATAGTCAATGTCAGAACTTAAAATGTATTGCTTTGTTTGTTTGATTGTTTATTTATTTATTTGATGTTTTTGTATGCCGTCCCAATTACTAAAAAAGTCTCTGGGCAGCTTACAGAGAGCAAACCAAACCGAACCAAAAAAACCCATAACAATGACCACACAGATCTTTAAAAAAAAGTACATTGCATCTAAAATAGTAATAAAAACAAAAATAAAACCAGTTTAATTATTAAAATACTGGGAAAATAAAAAGTATTCTGCTTCCAAATTCATCATAGGATTAAGACTGCTCCTTTACATGTGTTGCCGCCTTGTTGGAGGATGCTAATATCATTTAAAGCATCCTCAGATTACTGTGACTGGGGAATCACGAGTCATAGAAACATAGAAACAAAGGGAGTCAGAAGGGGCCTCCTGGGCCATCTAGTCTGACCCCCGGCTCCAGCCAGGTCCGCTCATGACATGCCCATCATGCGCATGTCCAGTCTATCTT